GCGCTGGGTAGCCGAACACGCAGGGAGCAGCGTGCAGAATTGAACGAATAAAGCCGTTCAATTCCATTCAAATGCAGGACCAAAGTGATGCTCTGCACGTGCCTGCGAAACAAAATCGTTTCTTCATGGGGGTGGCAAATTAATGCTAATGACACTACTCACTGCGAGAATAGAAGCCCTTGACGTGTTTTAGACCAGGTGTTTCTTTTTAACAGAATTAAATTAAATTACTAGAAACGTTTCCATGTAACTTGGGGCTGTGTTGAAACGTTGGGTAAATATACGAGAGTTAGACGATGGAAGCCTGAAATCGTAAGATGGATAACCCATGTTTCACACTTTCATATTTTTCCCCACGTGTACGTTCCAAGAATACCATTAACAAATTTCTGCCGATGAGTTGTGCCTGGCAGTGATAGGCAAAGCCACAAACCACCATCGCCCTCGTCAATCGATGTACGCGGCTTGAGGATGTTACGAATGGCTGAGAGTTTGAAAAAAAAACTTGAGACGCGCGCGGGAAACTCTGCAACGACCGCGCATTTCGCGGCGCCTGATAAGACAACGTAATTTGGGAAGTTAGTGCGCCTGCCTATGGTGGCGGCGGCGGCAACGGGCGGAGAGACGGCCTATCTGAAGTCCATGGTGGCGGCAGCAGCGGGCGGAGACACGGGCTATCTGAAGTCCATGGTGGCGGAGAGATGCCTATCTGAAGTCAGTGGTGGCGGCAGCAGCAGGCGGAGACATTCCTATCTGAAGTCCGTGGTGGCGGCAGCAGCGGGCGGAGACATGCCTATCTGAAGTCCATGGTGGCGGCGGCAGCGGGCGGAGACATGGCCTATCTGAAGTCGCCTACCCGCGTGGGAGCGGCAGCCGTTCGCTGTCAGCAGCGCAGCCGGCTACGCTGGCTCAGTCTGACGGCTCGCCGCCAGCAGCGCGGCCGGCTACGCTGGCTCGGTCTGACGGTTCGCCGCCAGCAGCGCGGCCGGCTACGCTGGCTCGGTCTAATGGTTCGCCACCAGCAGCGCGGCCGGCCGGTCCGGGCGGCGGCTGCGGCCCATTGGGCTGTCTCTCGGGCAACCCGAAGGCTCACCTTGTCTCGTGGGCTGCGGGCGCCGGCTGCGTCTGCAAATGAGAGCGGCGCTGAGCGATCGTCCGCCACAGGGGGGGGGGGGGGGGAGGGGAGCGGCGGCGGGGCGGGGGGGGGGGGGACAGAGGTGAGCAGGTCTCACTCCACTCGGTTGGCACAGAGAGTGGAGACCACCAGTAGTGCGTAGACCTCGGCCGGCCGGGGTGGCACACAGAACGGGGGACGAGCATGGGTGGGCGCGTCTCACCTGTCACGGCCCGTACAGAGTGCGGTGGCCAGTAAGGATGGACAGATTCTAACCGCCACCGCCACCTATGAAAATCAAAGCATTCCAAAAAACAACCAGCACGTGCTATATATGGACTGGACATTTGGCAGTGGCTTAGTCCATAGTTAAGCAAAGTATAACGGATTCAGACGATTGCAATGGTATTATGGAAAAAAGTCAGCCCATGCACATCTTCACTGGACAAGATAAGCTGTTTTCCCTGGGCGTCAGAACCTGCAACAGTGCCCTGGCGCGGTGGAGAAAGCCAAAGAGGACGCTATACGCTTCCGCATAAGTCTATTGTCTTTGGCTTGCCCCGCCAACCTAACCCCAACGGCGAATGTTTGCGCGGCGACCCCCGAAAGGTGATCTCGGCTCGGTCAGGTCCAAATAGGGGAGCTCGGTAAATAGAGCCCGGGAGTGGGCCAGCTGGAAGCCGTTCGATGCGTCGGGCCGCGCCGGTGAGCTGTGGTCGATGCCACGTCTGGCCATCGCGGTGAGGCGGCCAGCCGGCGGCTGCATGGCCAGATGGGACGGTCCCGGGGGCCCGGTGCCCGGCGATCAGAACGGCGGCGGTGGCGGCCGAAGCCGGACGGCTGTTACATGTGACAGAGAGCGAGGCTCACAGCTGGTAATGCCTCATCACGCTTGTCATGTGCATCAGGTGCGACATGTGAAATGACACGCTGGGCTTCGTACACCAGACTCCGCCAGGTGTGTGTGGCGACTCTCATATTGTAGCCAGAGCAACAGCTAACAGGTATCATATGGCTTAAGGGCATCAGTTAGCCCTTATGTTACAATCAGATGTCGAATGAGCAGCTGTTTGACGGTGAAGACTGGATGGTGTTGCCCTGGGTCGGCAGTTGGTGTGAAGACTGGATGGTGTTGCCCTGGGTCGGCAGTTGGTGTGAAAACGGATGGTGTTGTCCCGGGTCGGCAGTTGGTGTAAAGACGTATGGTGTTGTCCCGGGTCGGCAGTTGGTGTGAAGACTGGATGGTGTTGCCCTGGGTCGGCAGTTGGTGTGAAGACGTATGGTGTTGTCCCGGGCGGCAGTTGGTGTGAAGACGTATGGTGTTGTCCCGGGTCGGCAGTTGGTGTGAAGACGTATGGTGTTGTCCCGGGTCGGCAGTTGGTGTGAAGACGTATGGTGTTGCCCCGGGTCGGCAGTTGGTGTGAGGACGGATGGTGTTGCCCTGGGTCGGCAGTTGGTGTAAAGACGTATGGTGTTGCCCCGGGTCGGCAGTTGGTGTGAAGACGGATGGTGTTGCCCCGGGTCGGCAGTTGGTATGAAGATGGATGGTGTTGCCCTGGGTCGGCGGTTGGGGTGAAGATGGATGGTGCTGCCCTGGGTCGGCGGTTGGTGTGAAGATGGATGGTGCTGCCCTGGGTCGGCAGGTGGCGTTCAGATGTATGGTGTTGCCCTGGGTCGGCAGTTGGCGTGAAGACTGGATGGTGTTGCCCTGGGTCGGCAAGTTGGTATGAAGATGGATGGTGTTGCCCTGGGTCGGCAGTCGGTGTGAAGATGGATGGTGTTGCCCTGGGTCGGCAGTTGGTGTGAAGATGGATGGTGGCCGGACGGAGTATGGCCTGTATGATGGAGGAGCATGCTCTGTCGGGCTTGAGCCTGAGCCAGCGCAGGAGCCCCGACCGCCATCGAAACACAACAGGGACGGCTCATCAGTGGTGGCAAAGAACGCAAGCAGCCAGGCTCAGCACGCGCGCGAGTCTGACATTCTCGGTTTACAAGTGCTTGGTGCCGCACTGGATTGCTTCAAGCTACAACTGCGGACTAAGTCCATTTTGCGACAGAACATTTCATCTCTTTTCTTGTTAATCGGTCGGCTGACGGCACATCAGCAACCATCGAATCATTCACTAGGGAACAACATGACGTCAGTATTTGCAAAAACCTGGTCCCAGACCGGCGTGAACGGTCAGTATTTGCGTGACCGAGGTCCCAGACTCTCATGGCCGGTCATTATCTGTGTAACCCTAGTCCCGGATCCGCGTGACCGGTCAGTATTTGCGTGGCCGGGGTCCCAGACTCTCATGACCAGTCATTATTTGTGTGACCCTGGTCCCAGATCCGCGTGACCGGTCAGCATTTGCGAGGCCCTGGTCCCGAGCCCGCGTAACCGGTCGCGCTGTCTCCGGCCGTTCGAGGCACTTGACCTTTATCCACGGGGCGGCAGGCTGCGACCTGAAACCCGACTTGTCGGCCGCCCGAACCGGAACGATGGAGCCGGGAGATGCAAGGCGCACCATTTACGATCTGTGACACCCAGGGTCCGCGTCTGTGCAGAGGGGCGACGACTGTCACCGCAACACCACCCCACGCGCTGCACGGCACCGCCAGGGGAGCCGCGCTGAAGGGCCGCAGCGCGACCGACGACTGTCACCGCAACACCACCCCACGCGCTGCACGGCACCGCCAGGGGAGCCGCGCTGAAGGGCCGCAGCGCGACCGACGACTGTCACCGTGACACCACCCCACGTGCTGCACGGCACCGCCAGGGGAGCCGCGCTGAAGGGCCGCAGCGCG